TCTTCGACTGTTACAGTTGATGCCTTCAATAGAGAACCATCACAATTTGCCCGGGTTGGCTTGGTTGTGCTATGTCTTATTATCCCATAGCTTAGCAATTTCTTGTCATGTCGCTTATAAATCAGATCCCGGACCCTCTGTGACTTCTGCTCGGTCATGCTCTGGAGTTTTTGAAAATCATCCAAAGCGAGAACCCTACCTAAATCCTTCCTTAATCTAGACTTAAGATCTATGAACTTAAATAGCTTACGTCTCTCTGTCTCGTAACTTTCTTCTAATTTCTGCATGGAAGCCTGATAAAGAATTTCATTACATGTTTCCGAATGACATTTCCTCATTAAAATGCAGAATCGGGGAGCGATATCATAATGTTTGCAACAATTCAAAAAGGCGACACCATATTGGTCTTCATACCTACGAGTCGAGGATTTCGGTGTGGGAAAAACACAGATGGCGAAGTGTGGTGCTGGTGCAAAAGGTCATGGTTTGGTAACAGAGGGTCACAGAGGGCAACGACGACACCAAATGAGTGACGGGGCAAGTAGACCTAGTTCAGGGCGTTTCTGAATTAAAATACTCTCGTGTACTTTTAATGCCCCGTTCTGATTGGTTGAACGAAGAGGCTCGATGCGGTGACTAGGTTCGGTTAGGCCCTACGTAACAGTGGAGAGAGTCATACTTCGCTTGGTGTTGCATAAATTGAGAGATGGCTGCGAGAGATGTAGCCAAACTGATGGCGGAGTAAAAGTCACTACAGCCTATTCCTTTAAGATGTCTTAAAGGGAAGTCTGGAATTTTCATTTTAATTCATGGAGAAACGTTCTCTATAAGGCCTCCCACACTCAGATTGTGCTCAATTTCTGAGCTCATCTCGGCCTATTTAGCACCCTAAGACGGATTCAAACAGTGAAGATTTGGAGTAAGAAGTAAGCACATCGGTCACACAAACCTAGATGTGTTGAATACACGCCAAGCATGACTTTCGGTACAATGGAAGTATCTTTTAAGTAACATCTCTTATGAGGAACTTTGTATTTATAGGCAAGTGTGTTTACCACAAAGTTAGATTCCTTATTGACTCATATTTTTAGGATGCATTGTTAAGCTGTGATACTTTATAAAAAAGCATTTGTAAGTACTGAATGCGTTTGAAAATCCTAGAATTTCCTTATAAGACTAGCCTAAAGACTCAGCTTGGTTACAGACTAAATTTCATTGCTGGCTCATTAGAAAGACGAAATTATTCCACCTATTCTAACCCAAGAAATAAACTAAGACTTTATAAGAACTTGGGTTTCTAAAAATCCGTAAATGTGATATGTATGTGAATTTTCATTTTTAAACATTATTTAGAAAATGAGAACCCTCGTGTGAGAGCATCTGAATACTGTACGACGGCTGTTTCTACAGCAAATAATAACATTAACTTACGAATTTCAATACTTAAGGAGACCCCCATGTCCTCTTCACAAACAGCATCTCCATCTTGGTCCTTTTGTTGCCCAAGTTTCACCTTCATTTTGTTCTCGTTTCGGTTATGATTGTTGGAAAATTCTTCGGCCTGAAAATGGTTGTTAGAAGAATCAAGCTGGTCTTCACATGCCGTGGATTTGACTCGGGATGATCTGAAACGGATATTCGGACATACGCAGCTTTTTGCTGCTGCATCATGAGCTCGCTCCAACTCCTCGAGTCGCGAGTCCTGTTGCATGTCGTAGGGCAGCCAGCGGTTCCAATAGGTACGCCGATAAGTCTACTCAAAGAAGAAATAAAGATAGGGAGACATGGAAGGGATCGATAAGGAAAGGAAGACATAATTGGATAGCAAGTATGAGAGAAAGGGAGAAGAAAAGAAAGAAAGAAAAATAAGAATGCTAGGAGAGGAGAAGGGTTGGAATAGAGGGTAGGCAAAGAGTAAGACGAGTAAGAGGATGAGACAAAATTGATCGAGGTTGAATACTATATCAGTGGTCCGGGTAATTGCCAGTAGCATCTGTGCTCGACAGGTAAAGCGTAACGAGGAAATCTATGATGAAATCCAAGCTTTCACTGACTTTATCTTAGATAGTCTCCCATCAGTTCTCAAAACACTAAGTTAACATGAAGAGCAGATAAATTAAATCAATAATCGATTATCCTAACTACCTTTCATTAAAAATCCAATGCATTTTATTTCGAAAAGGACCTGAAAATGACTATATTCTGATAGAAAGTGCGGACTCTAACCTGTTATACAATAACTTAACTTGCCAGATTAGGGATTAGGGCCGCGAAAAAGAGAAAAAAAGCGAGTTGCAGGGTTCATGAATCAACCTACATAACATTCAGGTAGTGGCTGCGTGACCAGGCTGACGAAGATGGCGATTAAGCAGGCAATAACGAAGAGTAAAATGCTGAAGTGGAGATAATGGAGATGAGCGACAATGGGTGGTGCATGGGGCGCATTCGAGACTTCGCCGCAGGCGAATGGGGGATATGCGACTTCCCAGGCGAATCGGATCAATCCAATTATGAGGCTGATGACAAGGGCCGAAAAAGCTCCCTTGTAGCCGGTCGGAAAGTTTATTTTAAACGTAGCAGTGTGGGCCAATGTGGAGGAAGATAAAATGAAGAAAGGGTAGTTTCAAGAGTGAAAGGTAAAGAAAAATAGGTAAAAGAGTTTGAAGAGTAAAAAAAGCGTAATAGTAATCCAATTAAGTATGTTGCTAAGCTACCAGTAGATATTGAATAGGAGGTGTATTTACCCTAGATCACATATGATCAGACAGTTGACTTTTCTTACAACTATACAAGTAGGCCTCACAATGCAAATAGATTTCACTTGGCTCTTCTCATAAAAGGTATTCTCATCCAGAATGCTCTACAGGTTTGACCTCGCCTGTGCTGCATGAGTATTCTTGACAAAAATAGGAGTGGTGCAGCCTACAGTTTCGACTGTCCGGGATAAGATCAAATTAGGGGTGCTGATGAGACCTAAGCGAGGTCGGAACTGCGACACACCTAGGATAAAAAGACCTTTAAGAAAGTAAGGTTAAGGGAAATTCAATGCAATTGTGGGAGAACTTAATTATCAGTCCTTCAAACGTAAATACGAGGACCAATATATTGTGGTCTCTATTTTGGTCGCGGTCTCTTCCTGATGTATAGATGTGGTCTGACCTCGTTTTCGCAAATTGATCATGTTGTCGGAGCGACTTAGTTGGATGCATCTTGTCCGAAGCCCTCTGCTATAGTAGTTATCATAATTCCCAGCGTCAGACTGCGGACTGGGTACATTCTCAGGCTTTCGGCCGGCATCGTCAGTGAGTCTTACCAGTCTCAGCAACAAGTTATAACTCGTCGAAGAGACAAGCGGAATCAATCCCTTGACCAACTTTCTACCGAAACGGTTTCGCAACCACTCTTTCTATCCTGGCCCCTCTATCTACGCCCTACCCTCTTGTCTCACTCTCGCCCTACCACAACTTCTGACTTTTTTATATTCCATTCCTCAAAAGGTGTGCCTTTTCGACGAATTTACCGTGGCATCATTTCATCTGCTAGTTGCTTTGCCCCCCTCCCTTTGGAATGGCTTATCCGACTCGGCCTCCTATGCGGAACTACCCCGTGGGGCCGAAGATCCGTCTTTTATATTTCTGTTTGACTAATTTCACTCGGTTCCTGTCCACGTATAAATTTGACTTCAAACCCTATTTCTCAAGCCTTTAGTAGCACATACAATGTTGCCTCACAAAGCAGAGCGTCTAGGCTCCGATTCTCATGCATACATATATCAGATATTTTCTTCACGGATCCTCCCCTTGATTTAACCTGTGCACTCTAAGCAAACTTTTGACGTCTATCTCCAGTCGCCTGCTGCCTCTCGAGTAGATTTATAGTCAATTTAACCATAATGCCGAATTTCTGTGACCGTTGTGATTATCCGTCTTTCTACTGTGACCATCAGGCCCCCAAAGGTGTAGTTGTTTCTTCGAACAGAATACACTCACTGAGACAATTTTTGTTTTAGTACCGAAACTTCCTTACCTTCTTCTTCCTTGCGATCCCTCTTCCTCTGATTTACGATAGATTCAGGCGCCTCCTTATTGCTTGTCTTGTGGTACCCTTGCTTTCTCAGAGTTTGATTAGGCAACAGGCAAAGTTATCGGAAACTATGCCTTCTTCCAATCTCCAGTTCATTAAATTCTTTTCCTCAAGGATGTCACTGGCCTCCTTAATCTTCCGTTTCTTTGTGTTTCCACAGTATGAGGCCCTTCTTTCTGTTGCCTTCCGAATGATATCTTATCCAATTTGTGCGATGTGTTCCGCTATTCCGATATTTCGATATCCATTTTCCTGCAGAGCCATTGCTGTTCCCTGATTCGAATGCAAATTTTTCTCCATGTTTCGCAAATATGCTTCTTTTTGCAGACTTCGCATGCAATGCAATAAACTCCCGAGTAATCCAATTTGTCCACCCTCTCATATTGTGTGGGTAAACCTGTGAAGAGTGTAGTTTTTCGCTTCGTGGTTACCCGAATATTCCATTTTCTTAATATTGGCCGTAGTTTTTCAGCTAGTTCACAGAAAGAGAGGCATATCCGCGTTTGTGAGTTTTTCTCCATCTCTACTTTTCTTCCATAATTCCCGTCCTGCTCTTCACGGCCAGTATGTATTATTGTATAATTTCTTTCGGATATCCGTTGCCGAGGCATATCCGAGTCAACTTTTCTAATTCTTCATCCCAGAATTCCACGTCCATTAATCGTAGGATTCTGATGAGCATGCTCCTCAATATCCCTATCTTTAGCCTGTAACTGAGTCTTATTCCGGCATATGACTTTTTTATAAATAATGTTTCCTTGAGTGCCCCATTAGAGTGAATGACTTCAAAATCTATTAAATGTAAACGCCCTTCTTCCTCTACTTCCATCGTGAACTTGATTCTCATATCAATCCGATTAATGAACTTCAGGAAATTTTCCAATTTTTCTCTTCCATGCAACCAAATTGCGAAGTAGTCATCCAGGTACTGCATAAGCAGTTTTGGTTGTAGTGATGGCGTCTTGAAATTCTCCTATAAATTGTTAATGTTAATGCGCTACTAGAGGCTCGAGAAATAGCGCCTGGACTAAAAGGTAAACTGAGGTTAGATATCTTTCAACATTTGATCATGAAGCCGATAATTTATTTAGATTTTTTTCCATAAACCGATAAAGTCAATAGAAGATGCAGGTGTCGTGTTCAAACTAAGAGGTATGCCTTTAAATAAAGATCACTGAGTAAACATTACAATCTATAGACAGTGTATTGTAATCGATGCAAGCTTAAACGGATAAAAGTTGTTTGACCTTGCATTCGTAACTTGGTCATATTGGCAAGAAGACTTAGAAGAATACACCTATTTCGGAGTCAATTGTATGCATGATCATTTCCAAAGTCGGACCGTGGACGTGGTACTTTCCCAGACGTTTCGTCGGCATCGTCAGTGAGTCTCGCTACTACTACCAGTCCCTAATCACCTAACACGAAATAGTGTGAAAACACCTCATAAAACAGATTTACTGGTTGTCTCGAAACTCTACGTATATACGAATAATAAGTAATATAGTCTATTATTGTAGCAAACATAGACTTGCCTCATCGACAATCCCACCAAAGTATGTGATATAGGAAAAGGCCTGGCATACCTTAAAATTCACATCAGTCCTGTGACACAAGAGCAATGATGGAAATGTTGCCGAATGGTTAACGCGTCAATATCTCAAGCTGCATTGTCACTGGTACACTCCCGTTGGGAGTGTTGATAAAAGCTAAGTGAGGTCGAGGCTGCAGTGCACCAAGGATGAGAAATTAGATCAAAACGTCTGATATACTCATATAATTGTGGAAAAATACTACTACCAGTCCCTCATGGGGCAAAGGCGTGACTATGAGACGTACTCAGAGGCTTTAGCCTCGAATTAGTCACCCAGACGCAGGGGAGGGCGAATAATGCCTCGAGTGGCACAGATGGGGTGGCAGGGGTCGAGTGAAATATGTGAACAAGGGAGAGGGCAGACGGATCTTACGGGGCAAAAGTGAGACAGTGGTAAGACCTAGGGAAGGAGGACTGCGTAACAATATGGCAGACTCTGATCAACATTCTTTGCACAAGGATGAAGGGGGGGTGAGAAGGACAGCGTGGAGTGCGGAGAGTTCGCATGAAACCCGCTCGAAAGGGCACACCGTACCACATATAATCAAGGAAGTAAAAGATTGTTACAGTGAAGGCGTGATAGGAGGATATAGAAAAGGTGAATAGGCTAGGGCAGAAGGGGAGATACCATAACTGTTTAACACACGTTTGATCAGAGGATCGGCTTCACTTGTCTCTTTGACGAGTTGTAATAGGGTGCTAAGAATGGCAAAACTCACTGACGATGCCGGCGAAACGTCCACGGTCCAACTTTGGAAATGCTTATGCATGCAATGGACTGCGGACAAGGTTCGTTCCTTTAAGTCTTCCTACCAATATGACCAATTTACGAAAACGAGATCAAACAACGTCTATACAACGAAAGGAGAATGCGACCACACAAAAGGCAGACCATCTTGGCCTTCATACCTTCGATTAAACTTTGGAAGTAAGATTGCCAAACAGTGCACTAATTACAGCCGAATAAAGAGGACAATTGTAAGTCAATCCTGCCACTTGGCCTTTTAAATTATTGTAAACAATATGATATCGTT